CAAAGGTCATTTTGGCTGCCTGTGAGCCAGGAGTTGGAGCTGCTGAGTTGGTCCCTTCTGTCTGAGGTTGAATCCATTTGATCTTCCTGGTGTCTAGGACAACAGAGCCAACCTTGCTGCTTAGCTTTAAAGTCTGGCTTACTGGCCTCTAGCCTCCCCACCTCTCACTCAAACTTGCCAGTTTCTGGGAGACCAGCATTACTGATCCCTCTCCATGTGTTGGACAACACCCACTGGACCTGAACTAGGGATTCCTTTAAAGCTGTAGTCTCTAGGTATTAAGAGAAATTTCTCTAAATCTCTTGAATAAAATCTACTTCACCCTATCAGGTGAGGAAGTCAGTATATTTCCCACATGCACAGGGGAGAGGCAGCACTGTCCTGGTCCCCAACTCTCGAGTGTTGAGACATTTTTCTAAAGGGAAGGTGAGATACTCTGCTGGAACTCCGCAATCTAGGAGTTTGAATAAGCAGGGAATAGGCCCTGCTTTCACAGTTGCCTGAGGCCCAGCAGTCTTCGTGGCTCCTAGACAATAAGCTAGAAGTATGGTCTTCATTCTTTGTCATTTTTGATCTCCATTATCTGACAATTTGCTGAGCTGTGGGAAGGGAAGGTGCTCTGGGGATCTGGATCTGTGCTATAGACACCATTTATACTTTGATCTTTTTAGAATATTGAACATGCTTAGTTTATCTTCCCATTTGGATAATTCTATGATCTCTGCTTCTTGGAGGTGTTAACTGTCCTATGTGTAGTTTCTGCTACGCTCGCTCATGATAGTTTGCTTTCGCACGAGCTATGTAATTTTTATGGAGCACTCTTCAGTGCTCTTTCCCTTATAGGTAGTCCTTCTGTTTTGGATTGCTGAATGCCTCTATATGTTTTGTTATTGTTCTTTCTGAGGTTTGGAAGGAATCTGTTCTGGATGAAAGCTTAAGTGAGCTCTTGGCTTGAGGTTCCTACAATATGCTTCTAGCATATATTTGAACTCTGATCCAGACTCAGACTCTTTGATGTGTTTCAATCTTAACCTTTCCTCATTAGGATCTACCTCCGGTGTGATACCGGAAGTGTCTCACATACTGATCTGGCTTTAACTTGTCCTCTATTTCTGGCACCAGAGTGAGGATTGGCTGTTACATTAATATTATTTGTTGCTGTATTTTATCCAACTATGTTTTGCTAAGATTAGCCTGCCTCTCTACAACACCTCTCTACAACTAAAATGAGAGTGGTGAGAATTACACTCACACAGGCTCTCCCAGTGCTTGGTACTGATGCCCACTAGAGGCCAGTGAAGCCTGCTCTGTGCAGCAGCTCCTGGGACATGTGTGTCCTCATGCTTCAAGACTGGACATGGAGCTGCACTGTCACTAACTTCCTTCACCATCATCTTGGCCCATGTGGTCTCCAGGGAAGGAAGCTTGTCTCTCTTCTTCTCTAGACCTTCCTTACACTACTGGACTCTCTGAATGCTCCAAAGCCATCTCCAGTGGCTTTAGGGATCCTAAAACCAGTTCTTATTCTTCTTTACCCAGATTAACAAGACTGACAGGAACCCTGCAGACTCTCCTATCACTGTAGCCCCTAGCCTAGCCCAGGCCTGGCCCAGCGGGAGGGAGGTAAGCAAGCCTTGGAGAAAAGGGGCTGTCATTTCTATCAGCGATGGGAGACTTTAGAGAATACAAGCTCCAGCAGATAGTTATAATCAGGGTTTTAACTGCACCTATACAGCCTGGGGACTTTGAGAGGTTAGTGACCATCTCCTGTGGCGTCCTTTATAGAGGTAAGAAGGTGGCAGTAGACAGCCATCCCAAGAAGCCTGAGGCTAGAGTGCCCCCGGCCCATTCTCTCATTTAGCAGGTCTCTTTTTCCTTATCACTTAGAGGAGACTCGGCTCTGTTCCAGACCAGCAGCCTAGAGCAGTGGGCTGAGGAGAAGAGATGCTGCAGAGCTAGAGCAGCCCAGCGGCGGAAGCGAGAGTGGGTGATAAATTTAAATAACCAGCTTGACTTGGCAGCTTGCTGAGTTGTGATGCAGTAAAATTAAAATCTCGGCAGAACTTGCAAACACCACCTAGAAAAAAAAATCCATCTCTTGCCTTCGTTCCTTGGTGGAAGGAGAGTGGGGGAGGCAACCGGCTGAGTCCTAGCTTCTGGCAACCACCGTTGCTTGCAATGTGATTAGCTGTGTCCTGGCCCACTGGGCCCCACTCGCCCTTCTACACAATGGTCCAGGCTCCTCCATCCTCTCAATCCTGACCTTGTGGAACAGCTGCATCAAGTGGCTGGTGAAGTCTGAAATCAGCCTCCAGTGCCAGAAGGTGGCAGGAATATCAATAAGTTCTGGCTTTTCAGATTAGGCCAAGGCCTTATAATGCCAGCTTCCTCAGGGCTCATCCCTAAAAGTTTGCTGCCTCCTTTTATCTTTTCAGGAAGGAAGATGAGTTGGTGCTGGCAAGGTGAAAAGTGGAGAGGACTCCTTAACACTCACTCAGGCTCTGGGCACGGCATGAACTTGCTACTCTCTTACTTGAACAGTCACTTGGTACGATACTTACCTACCAGGAAGGCTTTTTTTCTTTCTCTACTAAGTCCCCTACTATTCTTGAATGAAATAATCTTTTTAAAGACTATTTGAGAGGAATTCCTGCAAATATACTAAGAGCCTTTCCCACCCCTCGCTCCTACTTGGGCCCAGTACTCAAAGACACCGATACTTCTCTAAAACTTACCCAGAGTCCACCTGTTCTGGCTGTTCTTGACACTGCTCATAACTGTCCACAAAGTCCTAACCTGAACTGGACTCACTCCAGAGAGCTCCATGAAGTCTCTGGGCAATGCCCCATTTCTCACCTTGACAGTACCTCCAGCAAATTCTGTTTGTCCCCATAATAAACACATCATGAATCATTCATCTTTAATAGATTATGCAAATTAGGAGGACATAAAATCAACAAAGATCAATAGCTGCAGCCGTTTAATTGCCAGCAAAAAACATTTTAAGAATGAGCATAATCGGCATCCCTTTCTTGGGTAATGGCACTATTAATCCAAACATTGGATCTTGGCCTAAGTGTGGATAAAATCATTCTCTGCTCCCCCTCCCCCAACACCCCTCCCCCACTCCTCCATACACTTCTCTCTTTTTGGTAATTTCCAGTTTCTGAGTGAGTTTCCCCGTCATTACCACTGGTGAACAGCTCCGAATGTTAATGGTTCTGCTTTTGTTACTCCTCGCTTGATTGAAATGTCGCATACAGATTGAGATGTTAGTGCTAACTTGCCACCTGGGAATGTCAAGCTGGGTCTGAAATGAACTTTTCTCACACTTGGATCCAGATGGATCAGCCGGAGATGTTCCCAGGCTGAGTTGGGACTGTTCCAGGGCCACAGGAGGGGGGGGAGGCGAGTGGGGGCTGCTCAAGGTGGAGGCACTTTTCTGCACCATTCCCAGGGTGCCCTGAGGCAGAAGCCCTACCCGGAAAAGCCACATGTCCAGCCCCAGGAAGTCCCTGCCTTCTAAACAGTGGTCCTGAGCACAGAGGAGCATACTGGGATCAGAGGAAAGTTTTGTGCACTCTGTTTTTGTGGTCAGTTGTCTAGTGTAGGCCATCTTTGAGAAGCGACCACTGCACCAGAGAGGTGGCCTGCCCTGGGTCAGAAGATCAAGTAGGTTAGAGAATTCCCAAGTAGGGCTGCAGAAGCTCGTGCCAAGAGCTAGCTGATCTAATCTGTACTTTGACTCAGGTAAGCCTATTGCTCCCATCAGCTCAGTCAGTTTGGGAGCACTTTCTAGTCTTAGTAGTTATACTCCTAGCCAAAGAGTGCATCTCCATCAAGACTAGACACAATGGTACCAGGACATTTCTTCAGGAGAAATTTAGAAAGCTAATAAAAGGGCTCCCTTGAGCCCCCTAGAGGCTGGGTGGCTACTCCAAGCCCATCTGCGCCTGAACCATGCCCAGCTCATTTCTAAATCACCACCAGAATCGTGCTCTACAGGAAGGCCTGTGCCTGCTTCCCATCTTTGCTCTGAGCTGACTTCCCTGCAGTCCCTCTGCCACGTTCCCAGGCTACCTCCACTCAGTGGGCAGGTAACGCCTCAGTGTCTCCCAATCCCCACCGAGACTCAATCATCCTGTCTCTCAAGGAACAAACGGCACATTGGCTTTAGTGTCTCCAGAATAATTAGGTGAATTTTAATAACACCTCAATGTGCATCTCTCCCACTTGGGCACTCCCCTGGCCCGGAAACTCTTCTGCAGTGCCATACGCCTTCAGCTCTTTGGCCCCAAGTGTCATTCACCAGCCCTTCCCTGCAGGACCATTCCAGCTACTTTAGCTCCTTGGGGCTCCTGGCCAGGGTGCCCCCTCTCCTGCAGTTAACCACCTGACCACCTTGACCACTTGGCTACCTGACCAACTTTGGCCTCAGTGACTTCTCCAGGAAGCAGGGAAAATGCTATAATCATTATGTCTCTCTCTAACTCCATAGAGCTGGGTGCCATGCCCTCAAGCCAAAAGCCACAGCCGCCTGTATTACCTAGACAGAGAGGAAAGCAGGTTGCCCCAGAGCCTAGGAACAGGGGAAGAATGTGGAGGCTGGATAATGGGAATCTATGATCAACTCTTGCCAGTCTGGCCTATTTGTCCTCCGAATTCTTCAGTACACATCCCAAGGAGAGGCTCAAAAGTCTGAGTGCCTTGGGAGAGGCAAGAAAAAAGGCAGATGGAAGGTAGAAGGACAGCAGAGAGAACCAGCAGCACCTCCCAAACTTCTGCTTTTCCTGGCTGAAGCTATACCTCCTGGCCACAATGTTTTCCCCCACATCTGCACACATCTGTTTCAGGAAGCACCCTAGGTTTTTGGAGGCTCAAACTCACTCTCTCACTGCAGATATCATGGCAGAGTGCCCAGTTGTCACTGGTCCCCAGATGGCAGGGTCTGAAGTGCCCCACTGAAAGGAGTGCTCCCACCCTCCTGGAAGCCTCCTTACCGGTCACGACGGGGTATGTCTGTGTGCCTGACACATTGCTGCCCAGCTCAGGGTTGGTAGATGCAGATAGACTCGACTTGACTTCATCAAGCCCAGGGGTCAGGGCTGGGAGGGAGTACTCATTCCCCTGGGAGGAGAGAGAAAAGTGACAGCTCTCTATTGATGCACACTTAGAGAAAGGGCTCAGTGTGCAGATGGAGAGGAGGAACGGGACCCTCCCAGATGGGGTGGAAGGAGATGGCCCAGCAGAGGGGAGATAGGGAGGGGCAGCCTGGGCAGTGATGGGAGAATGTTGTGGCAGTGACGGACCACATATTATGGGTGGTGTTCTCAGTATCCTTTAAACTTTGGTGGACGCTCTGGCCTAAGAAACTCCAGAGGGGATCTGAACAGTGAGAGTGCTCCTGCGGAGATGTGCGGTGTCTAGATACAAGAGAGTAGGAAATTTGGGGGAGGAGGCTTTATCCTCATCATGTCCTGACATGATGGCAGAGTTAGTAGCTGGGGGAGGGGCCTACTGAGGCTTCCAGCCTGGCACTGCTGGTCTGCCTGATCAGGTATGGGTGACCCTTTTTAAAAAACAAACAAAGACAGCCCCACCGGCCCCTCGCTCTCTGCCTGTGCACTGGGGTATGAAATTGGGGAGGGGAAGAGTCCACATGGCTAACAGCAGGGTGGGAGGGGGCCAGTCATTGACTCTGAAAGGGTGTCCTGCCCGAAACACTTGGGTAATTGCCTTTTTATTGCAGCTACCGCCAAGCCAGACCCCTGAGCTGGGCAGACCAGGCGCCTACACAAAGCAGAAAAAGTTGCTCTGATTAATATTACGTTAAATTAAAACTGATTTTCTGCTCTTTCGGGGTCTGTTTTTTTCCCTTCCGCTTCCTGGGTCCCCCCCCCCCCCCAGAGGACCCCCTCCCTTCCCTGGCTGGATGGGATTGCCTCGTCATTTCCAATTCCTTCTCGTATTGATCTTCCTGTAGAAATCAGTTTTGTAATTAGCTGCAAATTAGGCCTTCTACTGGGGGTGAAGCTGCCCCCTGATTTATCACCAGAGTAATTCGCTGTGATCGGAGAGAAATTAAAATGAACTCAATTAGGCTTCGGATTTGCTTTATGGGCCCTGCTCCGAGTTTCAGGGGGAAAAATGACTGTGCTGGTGTTTAATAGTCTAATGAAAGTAAATAAAGGTTATTCATTGTAATACAGCCGGGGACTCAGGGAGGGTGCACCGAGCCGCCCGCCTTGGCCGGCTCCTCCTTTGTTGGTTTATGGCTCAGGGCACCTTAAAAAGACTTTTGATTTTTGTTTTATGAAGACAAACAGCTTATGGGATAAAAGAACAGGCGGAGAGAAAGGCAAGTGGCTAGGAGCTGTTGGAGTCTTAGAACAGAGCTGTGCTATGTGGCTCCTGCAGGGCTTTGCTGGTGTACACGTGTGTGGGGGCGCGTGTGAGCACAGCAGGCTGGGTTGTGCTGTGGTTGGAGGCCTGCCTGGCCTAGGCCATAGGTGTGGGAGGGTTGGGAGGGTATCACTGTATGTGTGGGGTGTGCCAGGGGCTACACTGATGTGGGTGGAGGCATGTGCTAGAAGAGGTGCCCTGCCCTCTATGGGGTAGCTACTGCCTCTAATGGGGCAGCTGGAGCTGTGCCATGAGCACTGTGAACGGTGTAGGGTGAAGGGTACAGGCAAATGGTGGAGGTATGTAAGCACCTGTAAATGAGAGGCTGGAAATGGGTTTCTGTGCATGTTGCATTTTGGTCTCTGCTGTGTCTGTAGGAAGGCGTCAGAGTAGGCTGTCAGCCTGCCCAGGATCACACTGGGCATCTGGACCAGGTAGCAGGAGGTGGCCACCAGTGAGCTTTCCTCCTGACACTGGGCAAAAGGAGCTCCAGAGATTTTTCTACAAGACCATGACAGTGGAAGCCAGGGAACATGCAAGAGAATAGTTTGAGTCCTCAAGTGCTTATGTTTAAAGAGCTCATCCAACTAAGATGTACCATCTTAGATTTAGAGGCAGATACCTGGTCATCCCCTGGTCCTCACTAGGGCCACAGAATGACAGACTGGATGGGATCTGACTAGTCATGTATCAAAGTCCTTTGTTCCACAGATGGGGAAACAGAGGTCCTTAATGGATATAAGATTTAATCACTTGAAACGCATCATTTTTCTTTCTTCTTTTGGTGGTACTGGGGTTTGAACTCAGGGCCTCTAACCACTTAAGCCAACCTCCCCCACAGCCATTTTTGCTGTTTCAGATAGTCTTTTGTTTTTTGCTTGGGCTGACATGGACCCTGATCCTCCTATTTAGGCCTTCCTATAGAGGTGGCAGGTGTGTCCACCACCCCACTCACATGTTTGTTGCTGCTGCTGAGGTGAGATCTGAATAGCTTTTGCCAAGGCTGGCTTCAAACCACAATCCTCCACTATCTGCCTCCTGAGTAGCTGGGATTACAAGTGTGAGCCCAGAACCCCTCATTTCCTAATTGCTATATAGCACAATAATTTCTATTAACTCCATTCTGATGTCCTGGTGTCAGAATTTTCACACCACACATGTATGGCAACATATGAAGTGCTGGGTATTTGGAATGCAAGTCCTCCAGAGGCATTGCTCTGCCCACTTCCTCTCCAATTCTGTGGCCAGCAGGAAACTCCTTCCTCACCTGTTCTGATTTGATGTGTTCTGATGCCTGGAAGACGTCAGGGTAGGAAGGACGCTCAAAGACTCTATCCAAAGCTTCCAGCTGCTGCTGGGTGAAGGTGTCAGCTCTCAGGTGCTTCCGCAAACTGTCCACGCCACTCTGAGAGTCTCCGTTGGGGACTGAGCCCTCAGACACATCTGGGGAACACACGGATACTCGGAGCATTAGCACTAGGCCAGCAGAGACACAGGAAGAGTGCAGGGGACAAGGGGTTAAGTGCCTGTTTCTTACCCCCAGGAATCTGTACTCCTGCCAGACCCTGTCCTTCCAGCTCATGGGCTAGAGAGAGTGGTCCAGCTTGTTGGCCCTCCCTCAGAGGCCTGGCTAGAGAAGCCAGATCCCTAAAGGATCTGGGAAGAGAAAGGAAAAGGGGTAATGGCACAGAGGGTGGGGGGACTGGGCTGAGGGGAACCAGAGGGGCTCCCTGGGCTGTTTCCCAAGGGCATCTTTCCTCAGGAACTGCATTGCCCCTTCATCCTATTTCAGCCTGGATGAGGAGCTGAGTTCTCAGGCTGGCGTTACCAAGCCTGTGGAGAATTGAACTCAGCTCTGAGATGAATTTCAGTTCCACTGATTCTAAGGGTTGAAAATCATCAAATCTCTGAGGCTGAATGTAATACAGAGATTGTGTGAAGTCATTAACTGCCCTGGAAAGCAGGGGGGGGGGGAAGGGCAGTGTATCTCAGAGCAAGGCTGACGTGCTCAGCTCAGGTTGGGCCAAGATGAGACAGAGCAGAAGGAAGAGGAGTCATGCGGACTACAGAGCACCCATGTGAGCAGAATACAGGGGCCTGCATACAGCTGTGCCGTGGCCACTCCTCTTCCCAGGGAACTCTGGTGCACTCCTCTGCTAGGAGCCAGTTCTTCGGGCACCTGGGACTTCCTGTGGGTTTCCACAGGGAGCCGAGATGCTCCACAAAGGAGGGGCTTGGCAGAACCCCAACAGTGCCTGCTGTCTTGGGGCCACTGGTCAATCCTGTTACCATTTTAGGCTTTGCCCAGGCATTGTCGCCACTCTGCTATCGCTGTCTTCCAAAAGCTTTCAAAACATGCAGTGGACAAAGTGCCTGCTCGGCTGCCTCTCCTTGAGTCCCCATCCCATAACTCTCCTGGCCCCCAGCTTAGCCCTACTTTGTCATTTTTGGGCTTCCCTCTGCTGAAGACCAGCTAGTGAGCCTTGGGCCTGGGGCCAGCCCATGCTGGAGGCCCCAGGGTGTACCTCTGGGACAGTTATATATATCAGTTTATAGGTGATTATACGATATGATATAATCAATATTGCATTATATACAGTAACACCGTACAGTATCATTTCGGAGACCATAGAAAATATTACATATTGATTAACCTCAACCTGCAGCCATCCTCCCTTGCTGTCCTCCCAGATGGAGCAGGGGGTCCTGCTTTCCAAAAAACAAAAACAAAAACAAAAAACTTCAGTCTTCCCATACTGTTGTGGAAGGGGTAGGAAAACTCTTGTGTGTGTGTGTGTGTGTGTGTGTGTGTGTGTGTGTGTCTGTCTGTCTGTCTGTCTGTCTGTCTGTCTGTTTGGGTGTCTAGGTGTCCTAGACATATAGGGAGGGAAGAAAGATTGGAAGTAGAGGAGAGAAAAGAGACAAGGAAGGAGAGAGAGCATGTTAGTGAGAGAGAGAGAGAGAGAGGCAGCCTTGAAGGCATTCCCATGTTCCTGAGAACACAAAACATGGGAGTTTTGTTTTCTGTGTAAGATTCTAAAATGGCTTTTAGTCTTAGATGGTTTGTGTCTTTGCATGTAGGTGAAGTGTGCTATACTTTTTTATCCCATTTTGTGATGGTTTCTCTGTGCATCTAGATAAATAAGGGTCTATGATAGGCCATGTGCACGTGGGTGGGGGGTGTGCATGTGAGGGAGAGACAGACAGAGACAGAGAGACAGAAGCAGACAGACAGATGGACTGACTGCAGGGAAGTGTGAATCTATATCCCTGACTTCTTCTCTGACTGCTTCTTTTCCTATGATGTGCATCACCCGAACTCACTGCCTGTAGCTATCTACGTGTGTCCAATGTGCCTAGTAATCCTCTCTTCTTCGGATCCTCCCATCTTTTTGATTTCCCTGCTATCAGAACTGAGGGAAGGTGGCACTTTGTATATGGTTATTGCCGTTTCACCAAATAGGCCCTAGGGAGTGGAATGTCACACATCAGGTGTGTGTGTGCACGTGTGTGTGTGTGTGTGTGTGTGTGTGTGTGGCAGAATGCCATCATGCAACTGTATAGATTTTGTGTACATGCTTCTGTGTGGCTGGGCTTACCCTATGCCTCTGTGTGTGTGTGTGTGTGTGTGTGTGTGTGTGTGTGTAGGGGCTGAACTGAAGCTTTGTCCTCAGGTCACTGGCTGGAGGAGTCTCTTTGCCTTCATTTATTCAGGGGCCCTTCAGATCTTGACAAATCTGTCACTCTAAATTTGCGAGAGATTATGGTGCTCTCTCCCCAGCCCGCAGAGAGGTGATATATGATATCTGCTGCCCCTATTGATTGCCTGATCTGGTGGCAGAGGCCGGCGAAATGAACTTGAAATGAACATCATGCCTCAACTCATTGTGCGTATAATACACTACTTAATCCCACATTTTTCAGCCGCTATGGAATTCAATTGATCAATCATGTTCCACTGATAGTACTGTTTTAGGGGTTATTGCTGCTCCCTCCACTCACTGACCTTTTTATTTATTTATTTATTTTTTCTACACTCAGGCCCTGGTGGTAAGGCAGGTTACAGAGGCAGCGACGGAGAGGAGGGAAAGGCGGAAGGGGAAGGCTAAATGAAGCCTGCTGCTGGCAGAGGTAGCAGGTGGGAGGTGGAGACAGAGGAAGGAAGAAGGGAAGGAAGGGGTGGGGAGGCGGAAAGCAGGAAAGCGCTAGAGGAACAGACAACAAAGTGATTGATAAAAGCATATAGAGACACTGCCTCCCCTGCCTCGCCCTCCCCACCCTCTAAGGGACTCCCCAGAAGGGAAGAAAAACTGAGAGGCAGCAAAAGGCAGCAGTCAAGATGAATGGTAAAAGGACCACAGAAAAGTTATAGGAGACAGGGAGGTGAGCTGCCGGGCAAGAAGAGGGCAATGGTGCCACTAATGGGGGACAGGAAGCGAAGGAGCCCTCTTGCAACTCAGCCACAAGTCCCAGGGATTGTCATGGTTCCTTCTGGAGGAAGGGTGGTACCCTTCTGTGTCTGCAAGGAAAAAATGAATGAGAGTGAGGAGAACAGGCAGGAATGAAGTAAGCCACCGAGGGTAGAAGGGGCCTTCAATCAGATGGTGCCAGGAGAAGAAGCTTCAGAAAGGAGGAAGCCCAGAAGCAAAGGTAGGACAGGAAGGAGGCAGAGGAAAAGGGGAAAAGGGAAAGTACTTCCACATCAGAAGCCAGGCAGGCACTGGCTGGGGAGAGAAAACTTGGCACAGGAATGGAAACAGCTGGCTCTCTGTCACTGCTGCTTGTGTGTCCAGCTACAGAGAGCAGCCCAGGGCCTGGACTGGGGGAGGCTGGAAAGGTAGAGGGAGGAGAACAGAAGAGAGCAATAGAGAAGGAGAAGGAAAGAAAAGAACACAAGGAAGAGGAAAACAAAACAGAAAGGGGAATAAAATGGAGTTGACAGTACTGACTATCTAGAGAGCCTTTGCAGACCAAGATGGAGAGAGTCGTTCTGAATAGTCCCTCCCATAGGCAGAGTCACTGAGAAGCCAGTGAGGGAGATAAAGGTACCACTCCCAGGCCCTGAGCAAATCTAAATAGAGGCAGAAGCAGAAGTGGTCCCTGGATCTAGTGAAGGAACAGGTAGAATAGACATCAACCACCTCAAAGACAATTCCTCACCCAACAACCCTCTTGTGTCAAGGAGCCAAACTATGGGCACTTTGTGAGTAAGGTGCATGAGTGATATATTTCTATAGCTCCTATGCTAGGCATGGCACATAGTAGGTACTCAATTAATGGTTGAATGAATGAGACTCTCCGGGGTGGTAATCACACCAGACCCCTGGCAGTTAGTTTCAAGAGTAACCACCTGATTGGCCTGGCAGCCAGGGAACTCAGTCACTTGTCAGGCGAGTCCCACGGCCTGTTAGCCTCTAGCAGTATCTACCCCCGGAGGCTCATTTTACCCTCAGCAATACCATCCCACCCACCTATGATACTCAAGCCAAAGAATAGAGAACACTATGCTCCCATTTAGAAGAGAACTTAGCCTTGGAGCTGCAGACCTGTCAACCAAAGCAGATGGCAGAGGCTACTTAAGGACAAAGCCCAAAGAAGATCTCTACATTTAGACTCCCAGCACCAAGAGGGCTGGAATATGGTGTCCATATGTCCTGGACTTTCTGGAGCAGTCCCAGTTTGCAATATTCCTTCCAACTCTCAGACCATGTTTTTAGGTTGAGATTGGAAAATGTAATTGTTGTAGGTTTCGGAAGATCCTACAGAGCTAGGAAAGGGCCATATGCTAAGCTAACTATCTCCATCTGTGGAAGATTTAGCCCTACTCCTCTTCTACCTCCTGCTCAGCTATCCTAACCACACACAAATATTAAGACCTTTTTGAATGAGGATGTTACTCAGTGGTAGAGCACTTACCTAGCATGTGCAAATGTCTGGGTTCAATCCTACAGTCCACAGAAGGGAGGTAGGAAGGAAGGAAGGAAGGGAGGGAGGGAGGGAGGAAGAAAGGGAGGAAGGAAGGAAGGAAGGAAGGGAGGGAGGGAGGGAAGGAGGAAGGAAGGAAGGAAGGAAAGAAGGAAGGAAGGGGGGAGAGGAAAGAAGGGAGGGAAGGAAGAAAGGGAAGAAGGAAGGAAAGAAGGGAGGGAGGGAAAGAAAGAAGAATAAATAAAAGGAAGGAAAGATGGAAGGAAAAACAGACATGATAGTGTACATCTGTAATCTCAGCACTGAAGAAGCTGAAGCAGGAGGATTGAACCTGAGATGCATATAGAGAGAATTTGTTGAGAACCTATCTCAACAAACAAACCAATAATAAAAAAGTTTCTTCCATTCCATTGCTATACTTCAGAGCTTATTTAACCCATCTAACAACGCTATGAGGTAAGTATTGTGATAACCTGTTTCTAGACAGGAAAGCTGAGACAAAGCAAGGTTAAGTCACT